AATGCAAAGTAACTGTCAAATTGTCATGTTATACTTATAACTCTGATTTAAATTAATAATCAAAATATAGACGTGATCAAAAGAATCTTTAGATACAATTCATCATAAATAATTTTTTCCCATCTGGCTTATCAAAGAATATCGTCATTTAGATTACAGCGCCCTCACCATCTTTACATAGTACTATGCATATGAATCACACCAATCAATATCAATATGTGATTTAAGTAAAAATAAACCACAACTTATCTAGCTGATTGTTGAGTAGGTGCTCTTCCTATCATTGTAACAAAAACAATAGGTTTTTTTTTTAAAGAGGATCTATAAATATTTTTTGATTGGTTATATCTGTAATTGTTTACTGTAATAGTATACTATAGCGCTACTTAATATGTTGTTATTCATATGATAGTAGCGACATAGTTGAGATAAAAAACGATGTGGTTGTTTTGTATTTAAAATTCTTAGGTGTCGATGTCTTTTTTTCTTCTTTTATTCTGTCTTTTCAACCATCTCGTTTAATTTATATTTTACACATCGTTGAGGTCGTGTATTATGTTCAAAAAAGCGACAACAAAGAACACGTAAAAATAAACGTAAGCTTACCGTCATGGGGTTTTTTTTCATGACTAACATTAAAATTTTGCTTATTTATAATTTGATTTATATATATATATATATATAGATAGATATTAGACATTCAAACAAGCATGAGTGAGATTAATATTGAATCATCTACGACTGGTAATGTTCTATTTCAATTTAAATAATTTATTTATTTTATTTTTTTTTTCGTAAATAGAATCTGTCGTAATTTTATCTGAAGTATCATCAACATCAACACTTTCTTCACCTTCATCATTAAATACGATTGATGATGAAGCAAGACGACGTAAAATCTTAAGTAAATTATGGGGCAAGGGTAATAAATTGTCACATAAAGTACGAGAACTTGATAAAAATACTATTAACAATAATAATGATTTATCAATTCATAATGATAATGAACAAAAACAATTAGGTGATAATTCTAATAATCTTTCATCATATTCTTCAACAAATGATCTAAAATCATCAATAGAAGATAGTTCGAACAGTATTAATAGTAGTAAACCATTGGCTGTTGTAAAACCGATTGTTGTTGTTAAAACGGGTCGTATCGTTTCTTCTTCTATTGATCGAACACGTGTAAATAGTGCAGCATCATCAACAAATATTACACAAATAGATGAAACAATAACAGTGACTGAACGACAATCATCATCAACAATAACAACCGATCAAACATCAAATAAAAAGAAAAAAAGTCATAAAGATAAAGATTCAAAAAAGAAGAAAACAACAAGAGATCAATCAGTAGAACGAGATCGATCACATCATCATCATCATCATCACCATGAAGTAATTTAAACATAACAAATTATTTTAATTTCTTATTTTTTGTTTTTAGACGGATAAAAGTAAGAAAAGTAGTTCATCATCAAAAACCTACCGACAAGAACAAAATGAAGAAAGATCGACTAATGATAATCATCACAAATCTTCTCATCATCATTCATCTTCAACAACTTCTGTATCTAAAACTAATCGACGATCACCATCCGATGATATTCATCATCCAAATCGACAATCAAGTCGATCAACAATAACAAAAGTATATTCTTACTTTCAATTAAAACTTCTATGAATAATCTTTTGTTTCTTTTTTTTTATAAAATATATTTCAGAAAGATGAATCTTCATCTACAAAAAAATCAACATTATCCCCAGTTGATCATCATCGTAATAGTTCGAAATATGAAAGTAATAATACTCATCATAATTATTCTTCTCATCGTCATCGACGTGAATCATCAATAACACTTTCTCCATCGCCATCAAAAACTCATCATTCAACAACAAATAAAGATCGATTATCAACAACAACAAAAACTTCTTCATCACCTAAAGTTTATTTCATTTTCATGATTTTTTATTTTTATTTTTTTTTCGAATTTTTATTATTTTTAGAAAGATGATCGTAATTCTACTACGCAAATAAAATCAAATCGACAACAAAATGAATCAATTTCGAATAATAAATCAATAAATTCAAATTCACCTACCGATTTTCATCGTCATAGTTCAGACACGATTGGTGGTGATGATGATACTCATCGACATAAAACACGAGTATTTATCTTTTAAAATAAAATATTAGCTAGAAATTTTGATTTTTTTCTATATATAGACAAGTAATGAAAATTTAACAAATTCTTCTAAATCACAAAAATCATTAGAAATATCTCCTGAACATCATTCATCATCTTTTATTAAACAAGATAAATCGAAAACAAAAGAAAATAATGACAAAAATGAATTAAATCAAGAAAAATCCTATTCATCACGACATAATCGACGAAGTTATAGTCGACATCGTTCAAAATCAAAAGAAAATAAAACAAATCGAAAACAAATTGAACCATTAAATTCTGATGATAGTTCTAATAATCATAACAAAACAAATAATGAAAAAAATTCTACAACAGGTATTATTTATTTATTTTTTGTCACAATAATCGATACATTTTATTTTTTCTAGTCAATGAAAATTGTCATAATGATAAAAAATCGAATCATCGATCATCTATTCCATCATCAAATGATGATTATCGAAGAAAATCTTCTTCAGATTATCATCGATATGATCGTCATGATTCACCTTCAAATTATGATCGAAGACATGATTATCGTCATCATCATCGAATTCCATCATCATCATCATCTCATTCATATTATCCACATACACATTATGTTCATCATCATCATCATCATCATTATCGATCGACATCATCGAGATATTATGATCATCGTCGTTCAATATCTCCTCGTTCTCATCAACATCGATCAAGATATTTTTCTTCAACATCTTCATCATTATCTCTTTCACCACCATCACGTCGTCGAAGTTCAACTCGAACATCATCTTCATCATCTCGTAGTCCATCATCTTATTCTTCTATATCTCGAACAACATCATCATCATCACGTTCATCATCAAGAAATAATCATCATTATTATCATCATCATCATCATGAAAAAAAATTTCGTCGTTCACCAACACTTGAAAAAATATTTCTTAAAGCATCAGAATCAATTGAATCAATATCTACACAAAAAAATCCAAATATATCATCATCATCATCATCAACTCATTTAATACCAATTCAAACATCATCATCATCAACTATTAATTCTGATATACAAATATCATCAACAATAAATTCACTTTCAGAAACAAATACATTTTATGTTGAAAATTTTTCAGGATTTTCTGTTCCACCACCTCCATTTATATCACAACCACAACAACGTTGTTTAAAAGAAATAACAACTGAACCAATAACAACATCACGTCGTTCAGTATTAAATGAAGTTCAAACATCCACTTCAACAACTCTTGATGAAGTAATACCAATAAAAACTGTTCAATTAAATGATATTTCAAGCAATGGTAAGAATTCTTCTCTCTTTTTTTTTGTTTTAGGATAATTTAACCGTATATATGACATATTTACATCAAGTTCCTTCAAATCGCATAGAGTATAGTCGATTTTCTTACTATGATAATAAAAGATTCGCTATAAATTTTAATGTTGAAGAGATCAGTGACTCACAAAATTAATGCGAAATATAGTTAATACTATACAACAAAAATAGTATAAATAATGCTAAAATGTCCATCATCATATGTCACTAACACAGAATTTGGATACATAGTGACATAGTAGAACAAAATTTGCTCTACACGTCCATATATAATACAGGCCACTTCCACACGAAATGATTTCCTAATTAACAGTCGACAATTACACAAGAAGAGAAAACGAAATAATAATATAAACTTGTCTCTCGAACAATTGTTCAAACAGTTCTCTGATGGACAAATCACTAAGATGGATTTAGTTATTAAATATAGTTTAGCTGTTAAGACTATTTATATAAAATAATAACTTGTCTTTTGATATTAACTAAAATTTTTCTGTACTTTTTCATGCCTGTAAAAAAAACACGATGATATTTATTTTTTGATATTATGATAAAAATTGTCTTTCTTACTCAATAAAACTACGTTAGTAATGCATATATATAGAAATTAAGTATCAGTTTAATCAGAAGACGAATAAAAAATAGCCCAAATTTCCGTGCTAAAATAGTTTTGTTGATTTGATATGCTCGCAAAAAATATTATATATGGATGTGCAGAGAAAATTTTGCTCTACAAAATTTGCTATATCATTACGTGTCCAAATTCTGCGTTAGGTAAGAAAATCGAGTATGTTCTACACGATTTTGGAGAAACTCGATGTAAACGTATGAAATCGCTCTTTAATAAATAATTTCCTATAACAATTTTAGTTCGTTCTGGTTCAAGTAAACCACCACGAATATCTCGTTTTTCTGATATAACACCATCAGTTACATCTGAACCAATATTAAATACGAATTTATCTGTTGATACACCATTAAATTATATTCAAATAAATGAAAATATAAATTGTTTACCATCATCACGTCGTCAACAAAAACGTCATAATCGTGAAGTAATGGAATGTGAATGTACAACAAGTGAATATGATCGTTCACGTGGTATAAAAGCATGTGGACATGAATGTCTTAATCGTATGTTATTAATTGAATGTGGTCCTATGTGTCCATGTGGACAATGGTGTACAAATCGTCGTTTTCAACGACGTTCATATGTAAATCATAAATTAGCTTTATTTAAAACTGAAATGAAAGGTTATGGATTACGAACAAAAACACCTATACGTAAAGGTCGTTTTCTTGTTGAATATATTGGTGAAGTTATTGATATGGATGAATTAGGACGTCGAAATAAAAAATATAAACGTGATGGAAATATTCATCAATATGTTATGTCATTAATACATGGAACAGTTATTGATTCAACAATAAAAGGTAATTGGGCACGATTTATAAATCATTCATGTGAACCAAATTGTGTTGCTGAAAAATGGCTTGTTAATGGTGAATATCGTATGGGAATATTTTCTAAACGTGATTTAAATATAAATGAAGAAATAACAATTGATTATCGTTTTGAAACATTTGGTACATCTGATTTAACAAATGAAAAATGTTATTGTGGTGCATCAACATGTCGTGGTACAATTAATATTAAAAAGAATAATAATAATTTAAATCAACGACAAAATCGTCAACAACAACCATTAGATGATGATGATATACTTGATTATTTACGTGATAATGATACAAATGAATATATTATACCAAAAACAATTGATGATATACGACAATTAATACAAATTATGTCAAGAACAGATAGTGAAAATGTTCGAACTATTGAATTAGATCTTATTAAAAATAGTTCACAAAAACAATTTGAATTACCAAGATTATTTTTAGAATGTAATGGTTTACATGTATTATGTTCATGGATGAAAGATATTTTAACTGATGATGATGATGAACAACAATATTCAAATGAATTTAAATATTATTTATTAGATTTTATTCATTCGGTTCTACCAATTAAAGATCGTACAACTGTTATTAAAAATGGTTTACTTGATTTAGTTTACAAAAAATTAAAATTACCAACATCAACAATAGATAATATTAATAATAATGATCAAGAACAAATTAATAATTTAATGAATTCAATACTTAATCATCTTGATGATACAATTATCTC